TTGCCTCTGGGGCGGCACATATCTATATGGCTTATATATGGGAGTACCCCCCCCCCCAACCCCCTGGGGGAAAGGCCCCTATTCCTACCAAGTATTTAACAGAAATGCTCTAACTTATTTTAACAGAAAACCCATTTCAATTTTGTAGTAGCAATTACCTACAGACCCAGGGAACTGCCACGGTAACAAAGATAGCCGTTGGTTTTGCAAACACATTACAAACCCACAGAAACTTTTCAGCACACAAAATTCTATTCGTGTCACCCATCAGGTGTGAAGAAAGGCTTCATTAAAGGAGAAAGGACCTATTCCTCTCAAACCACCTTTGAGAAAAATATCCAAAAATTTCGAAAATAGCCTGACAGAAACAGGCTACCCCGCCACTATTGTGAGAAAGTACCCCTCTGAGGTAAAATTCGCCGACAAGAAAACAGCTCCTTAAACAGAGAAACAAATCCGTCCATAAAAAAAAAAAACTACCTTTCATTACACAAAGTCAATACCACCCGGTGTAACCTAGCCTAACGAAAATACTAATGGGGAAATTCCACCTTATACCAAACCAACAATGGCCATAGAAATCTTTAAGGAGCCTGCCCTCATATCATATCGCAAGGGAAATACACTGAGGAACTATTTGTTAGAGCAAAGCTGTGAAGGTCAGATTACGACCAAGTGCATGGGTCGTGTGTTGACCGTCGCCAATTTTTAAATCTGGTAACCTGAGATGTGTCAAGTTTGATTCCATGCTTTCTCGGTTAAGTCCGACCAAGGGAGTCAAAGGTGACCCAAGGGGATTGCAGTGTATGTCAATTTTTCCATCCCCCCATCCCTTGTCTTCACGCAAGTTAAAAGAAGCCTTAAAATTACCTTCTCATCGATATCTCCCTACTCCCACAACATTTCATTTTCTCAATCCTCCCTAGATTTTCGTCCAAATTTCTCCCTCCTCCTCCTCACTTTCTCAGGCCATTTCTCCCTCCTCCCTATTGTGTACCTCCTCCCTCACGAAACGGCTTCTTCTACGCGAATACACGGGAGTTGTAAACAATCCATCGAGCACAAAACTCAACTACAGTAAATTGAAAAACGCCGTACTGAATCCTTCCAAGTGTTTTCTTGCCTTAAAAAAAGTCAGCCTTAGGATTCTGTCGCCTTTTAAAAGATCCTTCTCTAAAAAAATGGAAAAAACACCGAGCTCACACATTATCCACTCGCTAGGAGGTGAATATTTACCAACAGACCTTGTCACGGTTTTCGACGCCATCTTGACAAGTAGGCAAACGCGTGAGAAATTACAGTATTTGTATGAGAATCTAATGTCGAATAATTTCCGTAAAACGGCTGTTCTGAAAAAAATATCAATTGTAAACTAAAGTTACAAAGCATAGGATTGTCCTAAAAACTTTTGGCGGGGTACCTGTGCTTAAATTTCTCCATAGGCTTGCTTTAGATTTTCCATATATTTCTCAGTAATTTTCCCGGGACCTTCTTACAGAAAAATGTACAGCAAATTTTACAAAGTCGTCCTAGGTCTTCAAGTGCATGTAACGCCCTCAAATTTTTTCAGGAGAATCCTTAGGAGTGAAGCTTTAGTTTACAAGTCATATTTTTATTTGAGCGTGGCCCAAATAGAGTAATGGAAACGGCTTGTTTTGACGCAAATGTGCAATAGGCACGCAATACGTGCTAACGTAAACAAGGCAAGTAAACAAGCGAAGCGAGGCTAATGTCTGGCATGCGGACGTCTTGTACAAGGTAAGAGGCATGTGGGTCAGAAAGCTCTGCTAGCACACGGCACTGAATCGCACTTTTACGATCTCAAAAGTTAATCTGAATCTTCAGTATTTTTGCCTCATCGAAATTTGGAAGTCTGAAGTCCAGGGATGAAATCTATCAAAAATATTTGGAATATTAACGACGGGTTTTGGTCACAATAAGATCACAAGCAACGAACCTTGAAACACAGAAACTCAAAAAACGGATCGAAATCCACCAATCACAAATCATAAACAATGACGTTTTGAACCCGTTGAAGAAAACTTTCGTTTCCTAAGACGTCCGCTAAGATGATTGACGTCTGACATTTTTTTGACGAGAGGATCGAAATGCACCAATCATAGACAGACAGTTTTAATTGCATGTTTCCTAAGAGGTCATCTGAATTTGCAGTTTTCTTTATTTTATGTCCATTTTCTTTTCCTTATTTTGTGATTGGTCGATTTTGTTAGGTCGAGTGGATAATCCAATGAGGGACGATTTGGATATCGTTTGATCCGAAATCTTTCGAAGCAGCAGTGAGAAGCAGTTTGGATAACATTTGGCCGCGGCGTTTCGAGGAACTTGTTAATATATTGTTCAATCATGTTATCCCGGGTTAAACTTACAAATGCACACACTGTTCGCGGTAGGCCCACACTAAAAATAACACGGAGTGTTTTCGGAATGGGATGGTGCGCGAACTCAAAGAAAAACAAAGGAAATTATCAAGATATTCAAAAGACATCAAAGACTCATGGACCCCGTAGACGTAATAACAAATAGGAATATCAGGAGTGTACGTGTAAAATGGATAAGAGTTTGAACGGAGGAATGTTCAACGAGTTTGAGAGTCGCAAGATTTGTGTAGCTGGTTATCAGTGTGACAATAGTGATTTTGATTTTTGCATTGCGGAACACAGCGAGTTGCCTGTGATAAAAATCTGTTCCGATGAAGGAAGAGACGATTGTCAACAATTGAAACTAAAAGGGACTGAGGCTTCTTTTGGAACTACTGTGATAACTGCAACAATTCTTTTTATTATTTCAATTTTGTTTAGCAGGGTGACGGTTAATGTACTTGTTTTTGTATTGCGTGTTGTGTTTTTTCATCTAACTGTGTATGTTGTGACGCGGTACATGTACGATGCTGTGCGTCGGGATTTTGCATTATCAGCACGTTTTGTGTTAGAGTGTTATGATGGCAGCGAGCTCACGAGAAGAGAAGGTAATGAGCTAGCTGTACAGAAGGAAAATCAGTTGTGTTGTGGAGGAAATAAAAGAAGTTGAATTGAGATCTCGTCGTGGGAAATTTGTTTATAACAGAACTTACAATTTCATTGGTTTAAATCAGCTTAGTCAATAAAATCTTCTGCATGACAAATTACCCTAAAATCGAGATTGTAATTCGAAACTCGCGTTGTTTTCAAAATTTGCATAAATCGGGCGCTGCAAAGGAATATTTAGGTTACAAGCGCTTCGAAATACTGTACCTTCAGAACGGCATAGCTTTTACTTGTTGTGCTATATCTTTCAAAACTATCGATCGATTCTAGCTCAAAAACTCTCAAAGCAGCGGTTTAAATGTTAAAGCCCGTGGCTGGTTGAAATCGTCTCTTGTTTGTTTTCAAACGATGTAGGATTGATCGATTATTATTTTATCAGCTTGTGGTATGAACGAAACGTTTCTCTTCTGGATAAAGTTCGCTCAACAAATTTTAGAAAGATCTACTTGACTTTTCATATGTGGGACGAACTGACTTTTTTGTGGAACGAACTGATTATTTTATGGAACGATCTGACTATGATTGGAACGATCTGACTTGGAACGATGTCAACGATCTGACCATGGAACGAAATGACCGGTTCCCGTCATGACCCTAGCAGACTACCGATGAACAAATTAAAATCTTTGTTACAGAAAACACGGAAAGTGACACTTTTTGTATGGAAGAGTATTCGGAAAAATACACCATTGTCGTCTGATTCATTGTTACGTTAAAAATGGAAAAGGTTTACACTTAAACAGGTACAGAAGTAACTGAAACAGTGTGAAGTTTTTACTTAATAGTCCAGGGCCATGTGTCCGAAAAATCGTTCTCGTGGGCATTTTATGAACATTGAAGTTTCTTTGCAGAAACTTACAGTTTAAATGGTGCTGAATCGAAAAAAACTTGTCTGCAATTTTTTCAGAGCCATTTGGGCCTGTTTTATGCAAATTAGATATGACGTCATTATATAGCTGATGATTGACAACAAGATGCCTTCAGTTTGATTCGCGACTTTTTGAATCAAATATAATAAATGCATTTACAACTGCAGTTTACATCACATTTTGACTGTTTCAAGGAATGAACGAATGGACCAAATATTTAAAGCAAGATACACGGGTTGTCATTTCAGAAACATCTTTTCTTTTCTCCAGATATTTACTACATCTTTTAATGAATCCCCTTTGAATTTACGAGTCCAATTCTCCAGCTTTTTAAAGTTCTCTTTCTGTTCTCTGCCGATTTTTAAACACCGGAAAATATATGGTATAATCCTGTCTGAGTCCAGCCAGAAAAGGCATGCGTTTTGATGGTCTCCCCGTAGTTTAAAACTCAACACCTTATTTGGTTTCAGGTTATTCTTCCTCTCTTATTTGATTTTAGTGTGCGAAGGCATATTTACCTGACGACTACCACTTTGTATGCGATTTATCTGGAGTTTTATTTATTTATTATCATCAATTTGCCGCATTAAAACAATACATTTACTAATAGAAGTAAATGGGTGTATACTATGTTTAGGAAGGTTCCGCACTTGGACGATCTGGTTTTCTGAATCGGCGAGATGCACATGATCATGCACGATGACCTCTTAACGCACTCTTGGGGCATCAATCGAGGGCAGTTGCTTTTGCGAAGAATGGATAGCGGCGAGGATATAGCTCAAATAGAATGCGATAGATTCTTGAAGGGGAACGTATGAAGCGTATTCAGACCTGACAGCATAACAGACTCTGCTCTAAGTGATTTGCATATGGAGGCGTTTTTGGAGAGCGAAGCTGATTACACAAATGTAGTACTAGCATCCTTTGCCATGAACATCATCTGCCAGGGAGGTTGATAAAGTGAGCGAGGGACGAAACACAACTCAAAGACTTTTTAATCGCAATGGAAACCGACGACAGGCTTTTGCGATTTGATAAGGTCATGGAGTCTCCGTGTTACTACTAATTCAAATTTGTACAGGACTACATGAAGTTTGTGATGTGTATCCTGCTGTTCATACGCGTATCTAGAGAGGAAGACTGGAATCTTCACCTTGAGTCCCTCAAGGCTTTGGCACGGTATTTCTTTGCTCAAGGCAGGCTGAGTTTTGCACGAATGGTGCCACTATATATTTCTAGCGCAGTTGCACAGGTTTAAGATCGATGATCCCGATATTCGCCTTGAATTCATGCAAGGAAACTTTTGTATAACCAAGAAGGAGCGCCCATTCTGTGCAATTGGTCCGGACCATGCTATAGAACACGTCAACAAGTTGATGAAGGTTCGGGAAAGACACAGCAACCAGCAGCCATTGCAAGATGGTTCCTTGAGGTCCCAGAACTGAGTCGACTTGCGGCGGAAGCTGAGGAAATGGTGGGATTACAAAGAGCATCATCATCACACCATCATGATTTAAGTGATGTGCTAACAAAGCGCTATAAAGAGAATGTGCAGAAGCTTAAAGATGTGCTTTAAGTGAGTGACCCTTTCGCGACAGAAAGTCATCTGGTGAACATCATCACAAAAGCAGTTATGCTAGATTACATCAAGGAGGGAGTGCTAATGCAAACTGACATCGGTCAGGCATACTTTGGCACATTAGTTTGTTCAAGCAAAGATCGTCGCGGCCCCAAGAAAAAGGCACATCTCAAGTCATGGAAGTTTGCTTGGCAAACAAAGAAAAACAAAACAACTAGTGCAATCGCACCCTTAAGGATGACAGAGCTCTCTTCACACGTTTCTTAGTTGTGATTCTCTCAAGGCCTGAGCTTCACATGGAGGATACCATAAGCACTTTTAAGTTAGCTGAGTTTCCGGGTACACCCTTCTCCTCTGATGGCAGTTGGCTACACTGCATTGCCAAGAGCAAGCTGATTAACATCCTAGAAGGCCTTCTACCCCATCAGTAGCCACAAAGGCCTACAGTACAACCTCGCTCTCCAGACCCTTTCAGTACGCCTTTGGTAATTTTTTATGCCATTGCATCAATTCAGTCTCTGGGAACGCCATCGTGTGTAAGAAACAAGCGTGACCTAGCAAGCCATTTCCTAGAAGTCGTTGATGCTAAGACTAATGTTTCCACCGAGGTTCATTTTGTATTTGACCGCTACTAGATCCCCTACACCTTAAAGGAAGTAACGCGCCAGTTTAACAACTGGTTACAAACAGAGCAGGGATATACAATGATTACTGTCGATGTTGTTATTGACAAGACAACTATGAAAGATCTTTTGAACTGCAACCAGAATAAGGAGGCACTGGCTATAATCCTTGCAACACAACTCATCGAGTGCAAGAAAGATTCGCAGATGATGTATGTAGTAAATTCGAAAGGTGACTGCATGACATCTGATACTGTACCGATTCAACACTTCAGGAGTGAGCAGGAAGAAGCAGACACCCGTATGCTCCTACATGGTCTAGACACCACAAAGAGAGGAGAAACGTCCACATTCATTCAAAGCCAAGATACAGATGTACTCGTTCTGATGCTCTGGACTTACAAGAGACTTTGTCTGGATACTACATTGACTGCAGAGACAGAAGGAAAAGGAAGAAGTACTCCACTAGGACCACTCTACGAGGTGGTCGAAGAAGACCTCGTGAAGGCTTTACCTGACTTTCACCCTTTTTCAGGATGTGATCAGACAGGCACCATCAGTGGAAAAAGCAAAGTGTGTTTTTCGAATAATCTAAAGAAAGCCAAACGACAGATGCTCGATACCTTCTCTAGCCTAGGAAACAGCGACACCATCCCAGATGATATGTACCTAAAGCTAAAGAGCTTCGTCTGCGAGTTGTACATCCCATCGACACAGCTGAGAGAGCCCTAGGAGAGGGCAGATTCTTTCTTTATAGCAAGAAACAATAAGTAGATAAACCGCTACACCCTGCTAAACCAGCCGTACACAAGATGACAAAATGAGCTAATCTCGTTGCATTGGTATGGTCTTGCGACAACCCAACACTAGCATTCCTAGCCCAACGTTACACGGATGGCAACAACATGGGGATGCAGCCTGTTCCAACCACACTCCCTACCAGTACCTTTGGCCGTTCTGCAGCTGATCCAGTGTGGATGAAATTCGCATGCAACAGAATGGGCTGTACGTGCAGGAAGCACAAACTCTAATGCACAGATATGTCTGGTTCATGTAAAGTGAAACGTACGAACAGAAACTTTAACACTGACACATTTAAGCATGTTAGAAGGGATAACAGTGACGATGAGGACCTTCAAATCTAGTCCGATCAGCTAAGAATTCTAAATTTTTGGAAAAGGCATTATAGAGGCTTTATATGATAGAACAGACTTAAAAGCGCCTTGTGCACAGTTTCTTTTGCATTATGTGAGTGATTTCGGCTATGTATAACAGAGCCAGACTTGAGTACCCTGTGTTTTAGGGGTCATGAATGTAATTTGCATAAATTAATCTTACATCACTTCGAAAAAATTGCAGACAACTTTTTTACGATTTAACACCTCTTAAACTTTAGATTTCTTACAAGAAACTAAAATGTTCATGAAATGCCCACGGGATTACACATGGCCCCAGACTATAAGGGGCAACTCTAAAACTAGTTCGTAAATGAGGGAAGGTGTATCTGTCGTCTAAGCGCTTATTGCGCTTATTTGAGTGTCAATGTATTTAGCACGAAAGTGCTAATTGGGGACACTATATTTTAACGTCTTCTAATGGAGACGGGACCGCCATTTTACGTGGTCATCCGAGCCACGCGAAGGTCCAGCCGCCCGCAGGGCAAAGGAAGTACCTTCATTTCTCACTTATTTTAAGACCCTAAGTATTGGTCCGGCCCCGGGAATCGAACCCGCGACCTCCCGCTCTGCAGTCAAGCGCTCTACCGACTGAGCTAATCCTGCCGCGGTTGAAAAGAGTATCAGAGTACAGGCGATTTAGGTGGAATGAAATATGCAAATAGGCTTCTAAGTAAGAATTTGCCCCTCTGTACGTATAATTATCCATTTTATAGTGCTTAAAACAGTGTGAATCACCGGGTTAATTTTGGCCAATTTAAGCTTTGTACTGATATAGAGAAGAATCCAGGACCTTCAGTTTATCTAGATGCTACAAAAACAATTAATGCTCCATACTGTCCAGGAAATGTTACAGGATTTGGGGAAAATAGTGGACAACGACTTATCGCAATGAGTCTGTGCGCCTTAATTTACAGTAAGATAACAAAGATTACTTCAGTTGATGATATGACTCGAATAATGATTGTTGGTATTCAGTTATATTCTAGTCTGTCACTGCTTGCAAGACAATCTATGTTAATGTTAACAGAATTGCCAGGAATGGTTACAGTGTTTGAGCAATTTTTCCACCTTGAATACAGTGACAGTTCTTGTAACATCCATCACCACTGTATATGCCACTCACAGGTTACAGCATTTGAAACACACTTGGCACTGAACTACAACTCATTCATTTTAAAGGTGGCAATTAGTGGTGTTGGTATCTACAGCACTGAGGCTGGGGGATATAATGTATTTGATTCTCATGCTAGAGATATGTATCATAACAGTCAAGTGAAGGGACATGTGTATTGTTGGAAATACCATCCATGCATAAATTAGTACAATATTTTCAGACTCTACATAGGAATGAGGATATATATGAACTTAAAGGTGTACATATTGCCACCTTTGAACCTCATCTTTTCTCAAGCAATGTTGAAAATTGTAGTATATCAAATGTTAATAGTTACCGATGTTCCTGTAGACAGTGCTACAGTATACCCTATAGCAGTTTATGCAATGTGTTACTCTCTTATTAATCCTTGTGGATACTGGACTTAAGGAACTTTATTTGCCCTTGTTAGTAACCGGAATACACTATACAAAGTGATGGGTGTGGAAACACATCTGTCAGTATCAGTGGAGCTGAGATAAACCTTGCTCTTCGGGCTGTAACCACTTATGTCCCAAGTTGCAATTTGGCTCCAAGCATGTCTGCATTGAAGATGTGCATATTTTCCAACATTGTCGTGAAATGACACTATTTTTATTGTGGATTGGGACATACTGTATAAGTTGTGTGGTTCGGCAAACAAGTGGAGTAAAGGATTTGTCTTCTCAGGTAAGATATGATGACAGTTCTTTAGCTGCAATAAGGCATGTTCAAAGTATCATACCAGTAGTACGACCACGCCCAAATATACGCTCACACAGCGTCTTGTTTTCAGACCAGCCGTTCTACGGTAACCTGAGATCAGGCTCAATTTTCGTTTCGCTTTGTAATAACATTCCGGCGGGCAAGGCGAAACGAAAACAGAGCCTGATACAAACCTTCTACGAAACGTCTGCCGCCCACTTTTTTGATTGATTGACATTTGCCGAATCAGCCAACCAAAATTACTTCCGTTGCTTGTTTTTCTAGTATGCAAATTTTTAGTTTATCTGTTAATTTTTTCAGCTAAAAATAATGTATCGGTCAAATCGAAGCTTCAACATGCCCCCCCCCCCGGGCATACCCCGGGCATTTGACACCTTTGCCGTCCCGGGGAGGAGGGAATTTGATTATCAGAGTCTTCCATAGGGTGGGGAATTTGATCCCCATGCTTTAGGGGTGGGGAATTTGAACTGCACCCTCGATTTCATGTAAATTCTTTGGCGTGGTGAGCTATCATGGGGGACGCGGTGTTAGAGGATTTTCGTGGAAAAGATTGTGCCTTTGTGGCCAATTGGTTACGAGGAGAGGGCTTAAACAAGCTTTGTGCCGTATTTGAAGTATTTAAATTTTAAAATTTTAATTGGATGCAGGCTTTGAATGTATGAATTATTGTTGTGTTTACAATGAAATACAATACCTATACCGGCGATAAAATAAAATAAAAAGCTCAGGTCAACTACTTTGACCTATTGCAAGTATGTTAATTAATAAGGTGAGCAATGATGCATGTCAGTGAAATGGTCATGATGTAGTAATCTCAATAGGTGGGATCTTTTTTTATAGAACGCTTTGTAAGTTGCATGATGAAGAAAAGCTGAGCATTCATCGACTTTGTAGCAGCGATTTCCGCCGCTTTGCACGAGACTTTTGTTCGTAGTAAATACGCTAACAGTGTTTCTCAGTTTTTGTTATATTTATAAAAATTTTGTTCGACAACTGAAGGCGTTTCCACCATCCTTCTGTCATTTTTGTGCCTTTGAAATGTCCCCGGGGTGGGGGCATTTGATCACCTGAATGGACCCTAGTGTGGGGCATCTGAACGGCATTTTGGCCCGGGTAGGGGGGAATTTGAACAGTAATTATCAAAAAAGTCAAATGCCCGGGGGGTTTCCCGGGGGGGCATGTTCAAGCTTCGATTTGACCGATACCGAGAGACTATAAAGGGGACAGAGAGGGCATCCCCCATATACACCCTATTCCATAGGTAATTCGTCTCGAGTTATTTTTAACACCACAGATCTCAAGGGGGATTAGACAACAGCCAATCACATAGCGCGAATG